CAATATTAAAACGTTACAACAAGATTTATATTCTTATCTTAGTTTTATCTTTTTATTATTTGTTTGGATTTGATAACAACTCACTTACAAACTGCCTTAACCAGGTGGTTTGCTGATATTTTGAAAGACAATTGATCTATCATAACAACAATAATAGAGGCAGTAGCTATATGTAGAGGGAAAGAAAACTAGTGTTTAAGCTTGGAGATCAACCACCAGAAAGCAAGGAATGGGGTGACTTGGGTGGAAATTACACATCTTCTTCCCAGTGTCTTAAGCAGCTGCATTTGTACAAGACACAAGGAGAGAAACAGCTCCATGTGTCTTTTTCCCCTTGCTCAAAAGTTTCCTTAATAGGAAATTATGCCCAAGCAGTGCGAAGGGAGGGATGTGGTCCCCCTCTCCCAAGGCGGCATTCCAATCTCTCATGTAAACCACCAAAGAGTCCCCCTTTGATTTGAAGCATAAATAGTGTAGAGTGTAATAAAAATGAGCCTTTTATAAACTGCCCAGTGTTCATGGAGCAGTTCAACAGCTCCAGTGCCATTATTTATAGCTTTTTGATGCTTTATGTGTCAAAAAGAGCACAGGCAGTATCACAATCAGCAATATCAAAGAGCACATCAAACTCAACTCTTTTTTTCCCAGCTCTTCCTTTCATAGGGGCTCATGAATCTGTCAGTTTCCTTTCCTCCCACATTTGAAATGTAAGTGACATTAACAGAACCATAGTTTCCAAGTCACAAGAAATAACAGTTGAAATTATTCCTTGCTATTCCTGCTATTATCTCCCAAGACTATTGAGGCTTTGCTTTTTTTTTTCCTTGTTGCTTGTTTAAAATAGTTGTGGATATGTGTGTTTCTTTGCATATCGCAGATTTGTATGTTTACATGTATATGGTTTCTGTAACAAAGTTCTAAGGCTTTAATCTTTATAAACTGCCCACATATAGAAATGTGATAAATGAAATGAAAACTGAAACCTTTGTCCCTCCTCTGGAGCACTGTGGCTGTGCAATTCTGGGTGTCACACCCAAAAAAGGGTTTATGGTAACAAATTCAGGGAAGGGAAATGAAAATAGTCAGGTGTATGGAAAAGAACAGGGAAGAGCTACTCTAGGGAATAAGCAGTTGCTTCTGCTGAGCAGAGACCAAGAGAAAAAAACAAAACCAGGAGCCACTGGCTAAGGACACACCCAGGGCAGTATGGACCGATAAAGGAGAGGCAGAAAAAGTGCACTTGGATTTAATTTTAGTTGCAGGAGTGAATGGGATACCTGACACCATTAGGAGCAATGATGGAAACCATGCAAGCATGGAAACCATGCAATTGTCTGAACTCAACAAGCAGGTAAGAATAGAAAGTAACCACATGGTAACCATGGTTGACCTTTATGTGAAAGCACGGCCTATGTGTAACATTGGTTGTGAATGGCCTATTCATATTTTTCATGGAAAGCTTGGGGGGCTCAATCCTCTCTGCAATGTATTTTCCAAAGGAAGATTTCAATTTAATGCATGCCTGTCATTCACAAAATGTATGGTGTGTTTACTCAAGCCGCTGAAGCATAATAAGATGTAGCCCTTAAACAAAACAGTAATTCTTTTTGCCTCACAGCTTTGCTGATAGAAAATTGCCTGTGATTACTTCTTCTGCAGCAAGTGCTATTACCTCAGAGATCTGCTGGGTGCTTTTTAAAAGCTTCTACTGGGCTGTGTAAATCTGTCTTGCTTTTATTGATATTATCATTGTTTCCTCTATGATCATTGCTCAAAGGAAGAACCTTTTTGAGAGTTGGAGGATAGGAAAAGAGAAGTCTGTGCAGGTACATGGGAGGATTTTTTCGAGTACCTGAAAGGCTGTTGTATAGAAGGGGGCACTCATTAACTTTTGCAGCTTCAGAGTCGCCATCATCCTGGAGGTGCCTATTGAAGTTAATTAGTGATATCGAGCCATGATCCATGTTGATAAATACTTCATGTTAGGGAATAAATACAATACATAGGTTCTTAAGCAAAAAGGGAACAAAGAACTGGATTGACCCATTATGTCTAACCAAGGAATTGGCTTGGGGTGCTGTGAATGGAATTCTGATTAGAAACTTCCCACACTGTAGGTCCCACTATATAACACAATTAGTGCTCACAAGACTTTTCAAGCCAAATGAAGAGCACTGTTCATTGTGAAATTCTCCTGAGCATGCCTAAGCACCAAGTGAAATGAAAGAAAGCAGTGTGAGCATATGGCCAAGCTCCTGCGCTGTTCCATTACTTAATGGGAATTGTTTTTCATTGATTTTCCCTTCCACCATCTGCACACATTGCTACAGCAGCTGAGCATCCACGTGCCAGCTCAGGGTACTGTTGGTGTTGCTGCAAGGTGAGTTCAAGAAGGTTTTAATAGAATCATCTATTTTTAATAGCAGAATATAATACTAACTTTTATACTACACAAACCACATTAATGCATATATATCTATGTATTTATAGCTGCTGGTTGCTTTCAGAAGGAGGTGAGCTGCAGATAAAGAATGAACAAGGCAAAATATGTAAATAAGAGTATGCGATAAAATCAGCCTTCGTGGATAATTGAAACAATTGGTACAGAAGCACGGTTAAGTTCTTCAGACACAGGGAACCAAAATACCTGAAAGCTTTTATTTCCTTACGGTACTATTCAAGACAAACATCAATTGGAGAAACAGCTCATTTCAAAGCCCCTAATTCAAAAGTATGCAAATACCCATCTCACAAAAGTCCATGGAGACTACTCAGATTAAATGATACATTTGCTAGTAATTGAAAGTACAGCTGGCACAACCAAGTCAAAATCTCATTTATTGTCTTTGTGAGCAGACACTTCAGATCAGTCTTTTGTACTAAGAGATGTTGATTATGTTCAACCACAGCCTTTTTCTTTCCACAAAAGAAGAAAAAATACCATGAAAATTGTTTTTGCTTTCTAAAAAATGATTCTAGGTTGAAAATTCTGAATCTACCTAAGAAACATGCTCTACATCTGAAATCAAGGAAAAGAAGATATGAACCAGTTCTGAACCAGGTTGAGCCCTTAGCATTTCCAGCTAAAAGAACTCAGGTAACAAGGCTGGGAAAGACACCTGCCAGGAAGTTACTGCCTTACCCTGCTGGTTTATCTGCTTCAGTGCTGTCTGCACCCAAGCTCTGAGGCCTTCCAACTCAGAGGACTGCTCGGAGGAGGGCAACAAGGGGAAGGGCTTTCTCTTTGGTAGCCTCCATTGATGGAACAACCTCCCCACTGCTGCCTGTCTGGTACCAAGCTTGTCATCTTTTCAGTAACAGGTTAAGATAGCCCTTTAATACTGAGGCCTTTAAAGATTTACTTAGCTACTCAGGGGCTTGAGAGAAATACCCACCCCATGCATTTTTCTTTTTACATGGACATTTTGACTGTATGTTTTTGTTTTTAATTCAATTTAATGCTGCTTTGATTGTGCGATATTTATATTGTAGTGTATTGTTTTGTGTTTAGGCATTGTTGCAAACTGCCTGGACAGTTTTGGCTATGGGGGAGTATAGAAATAAAATAATGGTATACTGTCTTGCAGTAGCTCTCTAGCAGATGTCTTCACTGGCTCTGCCACCTGCGTTCTTTCACCTGGAGATGCTAGGAGATGAACTGGGCCCTTCAGCCTTCAGAGCATGACTGTACATTTCAGCAATGTTGCCTGCACTGTCTTATTCATATGGCAGTAAAAACACCCCTGCATTGGCTGAGCTTCACCCCGCAATTATGGTCACATACAATGCTGATAAATAAACATGGGTCACTTCATATATCACAAGCTCTAAATGCATTTCAACTGAGGATGAGAGAGGAAACTTGTTCAGATCAGTTTGCATTTTTATACCAGCTTACCACTATCTGAACCTATGCCTGAAGTGGAACACAGTTAAATGCTGATAGCTGCACTTTTCTGAAGTATGTGATCCAAGTTCACACATCAAAAAAAAAAAAAAAAAAAAAAAAGGCATGTAAAGTATGTATGTACAGAAGAGCATGCACAAAAACATGTGTTACAGGAAAGTGGACATCAAATCGCTTTATCCTAGGATAAATCTGCAAAAATTGCATATAATAGGGAAAACATATGTATCTTAAGAAACATAAATGAAAACAGGTTAGATCCAGACTTTGTAATACTTAGAATACAGATAGTGAAATCAATAGGACACAAAATTATCATTACTATTTTAAGTCCCATTGCATTTAATGGTTCTACTCTAACTATGACCAAAATTGTGTCCAACCCATTCAAAGTCTATAAGTGTTCGTACAGACTTTGAAAAAGTCCATAAAGGGATTCAGACATGGGATAAAAGAAAAATAACTGAACAAATGAAAAAAAAAAAAAAGTAATATCCAACTTGAGAGATTTGGCCATCCCCAGTTTTGAGCATATCCCTATTTACCTTAGAGAAGGCCATCAGCAGATGTTTTTTCAAGGAATTCATACTTATTGTTGTAGAATCATCATTAGTCTGATAATATTTAATTTCTAAAAAACAAATTTAAATGTTGAGATGTGTGTGTACGCTGTAGTTCTGATCTCCTTGGATGTTGCAATTGCTCAGCATTTTTCTCACAGTTTTGATGCTGGGGCTGCGAAAATGGGCTTTCCATCCTTCTGAACCTGACACCCTCCCTGACCTCAAAATGGCTGCTGGCCTACCTGACACTGGAGCCAGAAGCCTTCGCTATGCCGTAGGACACACAGTAATACGGTGGCAAAGCTTTGCCTCCTGGATGTACCTCTTTCATATCTGAGAATTTTAAATTTACTTATTCCCAAACTGGGATTGACCGTATTGGTAGGACTGACTGATTGTGCCTTTTTTCTGCCCATACAGGCGTGTCTTAGGTTTTATCCTCAATGGCAAACACCCATCCAATTAACAACATGACTTTGTTTGCTACCCGGTACTCCATGGCCCCAGGCACGGTGGCCCCAGGATCTTACCTTGAAGCTGCTATCTCCGATTTCTGTCTGGCAATGGCCGCTGCTCTCTGAGCCCCTTCCACGCTGCGGTCCACCTTTTGCCTGATCTTGGCACTTTTTAGAGGTATCACGCGCTTCTTCATGCCTTTGATCAGGACATTCATTCGGTACTTCCCCTCTTCCTTCTTACCGTCAGGCAACGTAGTGCAACCGTATCCGTGCCGTACGTTATCCAGCCATTCCCCTTCGTACTTCAGGCCACTGGACCTCTCACTCACGCCAAACCCTGAGCGCTTGTCATTCTTCCACTCACCCATGTAGGACTCTGTAGTGGTGGCATCGATGTCGGCATCAAAAGGCGGAAAGTCCTCTCCCTCCACTCCTTCGCCCAGGCTGGCTGTGGAGGTGGCATCACTGCCTGTGGAGCTCATGCCGCTCTCGCTCTTAAGGAAGCTGAGCCGGCTCCTTTGGCTGGCCAAGGAGGTCTTGGAGTCCGATTTCTTCAGCTTCCCAAACAATGAACTCCTCCTGAAGAGCCCGCCCTTCTTCAGCTTGCCAGCCTCTGCATCCGCATACAAGCTGAGGGCAAAGCCACCCCGTGTGATCGTCGGTGTCATGGGAACGTTCTCCTGGTTAGCTGACGGGGAGTCATGCTGCAGCAGGGTGCCGTTGCTGTGCTCACTACGGAGGGAGGTCAGGGAGGTCCGGAGTGGGTTGCGGACCACAGCTGCTATGCCGTATGGGACACTCTGCCGGACACCATAGCCATGGCGCATGCCGTTGGTGAACTGGCCCTGATAAGTACCTGGAATCAAGGACAGGTGCAAAGTAGATACAGCACATTTTTCCACATTCAGGTAGCAACAGCAACAGTCTTTCCACACAATGGTTCCTTATGTCATCTGAGCAGGAAAAGAGCTGTGATCGCTTCCCATCAGCAAGCATTCCCCATTCCACTGGGCTCAAGGCTAGCCCTTGTAAACCACTTCTGATGCTGCAATATTCTCTGGTGGGGTGAGGGAAATGCAAAAAGGCACTCACCAGGTGTAATCTTGCTGGCTTGTGTGAAACACAGAGGGGTTGTTCCAACTTCCTGATATGTTCCACAATAGCAAGGGGTCAGGGCAGAGAAGGCATGCAAAAGGGGCAGCCTACAAGCAACATGTGTCCCATCAAGCTGGAGTGCACTGCCTCTCTAGCAGCCTCCCACTGCTCAGGCAACCACAATGCTGCTCACACCTGGACCTTCTCCTTTAAAGAAGGTTCCTCCATAACTCAAGCCTGCTTATGAATATTTACTCTCTAGCAGAGCCTTTCTGGCTGATCAAAAGCTAGCAGCATAGACTGGCAATTTGTGCCCATGTGCAGTAGGGTTGAGATACATCTGTTTCCAACTGAAAAATTCAGCCTCTATGGGCCTTAAGAGAGGAACTTCTCAGGAACTTCCTGAAGAATTGTAGTGAAAGGAACCTACTCCCAACATCTCTCCAAAAGGAAAAATAAGCGTTTCACCGGGGACTATTCCCAACAAAAAGGAGAGAGTTGGAAAATGCATTACTGCTTAAATGAAGGTGGATCACAAGGGATATACAATATATAGCATAACACACAGCACTTTAAAAGAGAAGTGGAGATTTATGTAATCCAGGAGTACATTTGTGCTTCATACTCAACTTTTCATAAAGGGACAGGGAGAAGCCAGTGGTGAGATAGGACTTTAACTCCATATAGATGCCTGCCTCTCCACAAATGAGAATGAAGTGGAATATGAGCTATGGGCTTTAAGGCTGTCTGTTCTGAATCTACTTTCATTCTATTTCAGTTTCATGGTAGGTTCCCCCCACCCTACTGCCCTGCTGTTAGCTAATGACCACAACAAGCCAAAGTTGCAATCCAAAATCCTCTGCCACATCACAAGGGATTCTAGGACAGTTTGGAAGATCTCAAACACATACTGCTGCATAGCTACAACCCAGGAAAATGGGTGTAGAGTTAGCCAGTATTTATAAGTATCTTTGGATGACATGAGTCTTTTATGTGTGATTGTCCCAAGACACAGAAATATATATTTGTAGAATTCTTACAGGAATTGTTAATGGGGTTGACTCTATCAATATGGAAACATGGAACCTTTTCAGCCCAATAGTTGAGTCTTTGGAAAAGGCAGGAGGGGATACCCAATAGTTATTTATTTATTGACTGGTGATAGCATTTAATCCCAAAATACCCTTAGCCAAAAAGGCTCCCAGAGGGACTTACAAGGATATGACATAAGATTGGTCCTGCTTGCAGGCTTACAAGCCAAAAGTTGTGACACAAAAGAAAAGGGGCTGGAGATGAAAAGGGATAAAAGCAAATTCCAGCGCTAGTTCTCAGTTGAAAAGTTAAGTATCCTCCAAAGAATATACGGAGAGTCGATGGCTCAGTTGCAGAGCACCTGCATGCTCTGCAGAGCCTTGCTTGGAACTCTAGAGAGCCTTTGCTACTCATACTAGGCTGGATGGGCCAATAGTCTGATGCAGGAAGCTTCCTCTGTTCTAGAAGGTTCCAAGTTCAATTCCTGGTAGATCTACAAAGAATCCTGCCTGAAACCCTAGAGACCTGCATTCAGTCCATGTCAACAGCCCTGGATAGGACAATGGTCTGACTCAGCAAAAGGCAGCTTCTTATGTTCCTACCTACAAACCTTTGCTTCTTTCTCTTCCATTTCAACACCTGTACAAATGGGTTAGAATGCTGGCTCATTTACACAGACCTATTTCATCAAGATAGTTCTTAACTTGGAGCACCACCAAGCATGATATGCTTTCTTTAAGGGGCTGGTTGGAAAGGAAGAAACCTTCATACCCAGAAGTTTTCAAAAGTATGAACGTGGGGCAAGGGAATGAATGGGGGAAGCAAATTAGCCCAATAAAGATGGAACCTACTCAGTGGGTATGGAACAGGAACAGCCTGTTGAGAAGACAAGACCAAAAAACTGAGAGGAAGAAGTGGAAAGGGGTTGATTGGATAAATACATGGCTGATTGGCTGGAACATTGAACAACGGGCACCGCGCACTGCAACGTTCTGCCGCAGCTCCCACTTGTTAAGCCTAACCACCATGGATATACCTACCTTGTGAATTTCCCCTATCCCCTTTTAAAGCCATCTAACTTTGGCCATCTCTTTATTATGCGGGAATGAATTCTATACAGTAGGGAGGAAACATTTCTGGCCCTCCATCATATTTGGGAATTCAGAAAACTCTTCTGGGCACCACCACAAAATGGCTGGTATGGGAGGCTTGGGTAGCCAGAAAGGACCAATAATGTGCCCAAGTTAGTGTGTGCAAGCAATATGTGGGCACTCCCTCCCTAGCCTGCCTGGTTGCTCCAACTGGCTCTCCCTGCTCCATTGGATCCTATCACTCTCATACTTCCTTGATGGATTCCCTGATTTTGTTTTTCGTTTTTAATGTGGGGGGACAATAACGCCCCAGTAGACATGCAGAAAGCTTTCTGGACTCATAATGATGCCAGAGGGAACGTTGCCTACCCCTGCTATATACCAACATTGAACTTATTCTCAAGAAAGGCATTATTCTTGGGAATCCATAAATCTGAAAATGTACAAAATGTGGCATTCATGTAGAAAAAAATGAGGGACTGAGAATAACCCCTGAATGTGCATTGACTGCAGAGAAGAAAAACAGAATGATGTTGGGGGAAATAAAAGGTGTGGAGCGAAGTATCCTGAAGAGGACTGGCTGCAAGCCTGTGCATCATATATCCACAACACAAAAAGATTTGGAATGGAACAAAAAGCATTCTTTTGACAACCAATTTGAACTCTTGTCCTAAAATGGAGATCGTTCCTTCCCACCAATTACCTCAGAACATTAATTTTCCTCGCATGAGCATTTCTATCTGGCCTGATTGTCTGCCTTTTGTTGACATGGTTACCTCAGTAACTAACAAGCCACCCAAAAAGCCCAGCTTCCATCCATCATTCACTAGTACAAATCCCACCCTAAAGTTAGTAACCCACCAACCCTCCACCTCCCAACCGCAAATGCATGCACACAAGCACACACACACACACACTTATCTCCATTCAGTTAGGGTATCCTGGGATGAAATATGCTAGAGAAATACAAATATTTATTACTGGTATAAAAGCATCAGCTCCCCCAAGGATTTGGTTTCTCATAGGAAAATGGCCAGTTGTACAGAAGGTATTTTTATAACCTTCATTCTGCACAGCTTGCCAGTGATTTCTGCCATGATAGCAAAGTGCAGTGATCCTTAGGGATGCAAAAAAAGGAAGAAGAAACCCAGGGGGCAGGGAAGAGGAACACAAAGAGTAATTAATGTTCATTTTAGGTTAAATACAGTTTTGGAATGGGTTGCGCTGCACTGAGAAAGTTCATTGGTCAATGGCAGAACACACGCTTTGGACGTTGACTTTAGGTCAGAGGTTTTCCCTGGTACTTCCAGTTACATCATAACTCAGGCAGCAGTTGTGAGAAAGTTCTTTTGCTTGTGATTATACAGAGCAGCTGGTGGACAAGACGAAAACGTGTGCATTATTCTTGGCCCAAGTCAGCTTCTTAACTCCCACTGGCTTTTAATAGCCCTTTAACTTTAAAAACGTATCTGAATCCCATTCCTGCCCTCCATGCCGCATGTTTATTTATTTTATACATTTTAATATTATATATTTTATTATAAAATTATTTTATATTTAAAAATTTATCAGATTTTAAAAAATACTGCTGCACATCAACAGTTTAAAAAGACTTACTTGTTAAAATGGCAGTGTACAACACAGGTTAGGAATGACAGAGGTTTGAATCAGATCAGAAGTATATTTTTTGTAAATTAAAAACAAAAGGAAAATGAAAGCTCCAAAACAGCCTGACAGGCAGTGGTATTCAGCAGATGGCAAGGCCTACAGGGTGTTGTGGGTATTACTTGAGGGAGGTTTTTAAAAAGGAAGGTGGAGGCAGGCAAAGGAATTGGGACATGAAAGAGAATTATGCTTGGATGGAAATGTATGTCCAAACTTGTATCACACATCAACCCCCCTGCTTTTAAAGAGACCCAGTGTTACAGTTAGATGGCTTTTTTTTCCCAAAGGAAAAATAAGAGAAGCTGGGTGCACTTCTCCAAGCATCCAGAGTCTTGGGGAAATGTGCAAATTTTGTTTCACTTTAAAGACTGGCTGGATGAAAAAATACAGGGCCATGTACAGGGTGCAAATCACACTACCCTCTTTTCACAAGCAGAAATCATTCATGCCTTTGCTTTTTCTTGACAGCCTGGCTTAAATGTGGGAAGGGGAGGAACCCACTTGGAATCTCTTTGGAGCAATGCTCATGTTTGCTGCCCAGGTGCAGGAGGTGCTACGGTCCTCACCCCAGCCAGGGCTGAACATTTTTACAGTTGTACAGATACGGCAGACGCACATGCATATATCGGAATCTGTGCACATTATGCCTGCAACATTTTTTAAATGACGGCCACTGACTGCCCCCCAAAGAGCCACCTGAATACTTTAAAGGGGGTGTCAGGGACTGCCAAAACAGGGACAGCAAAAGCCAGTTTTTCAGCTGGTTCTTACAATCTCCAGGGATAAAAAGAGACAAACAGAGAACAGTTGCAGTGAGCAGAAAATGGCTCAGAATCACAGCGGGGCAAGGGAGCAAGAAGCTGATGCCAGCCACCCAGATGTGTTGTGGGGACATTTGTGGAAAGGGTGGGCCTGGGTGGGTGCCTAGGCACATTTGGCAAGATCAGCAGAAGGAATGTTGCTGCCCTTGCTA